CAGTTTAAATATCTCTGCACTTGTGAAGAAAAAAATTCAGAGTCCTATAGCCCTTTTCTAACTAGTCCTTGACTTACGACTGGTCCCTTAGCGACCACTGGAAGTTATGAACGACGTACCTGGGGGTAGCTATGATCCAGAGTTCCAACAGTCACACACAACCCACATGGTCACGTGACTGCACTTCAGCTGCTCGGCACCCAGGGCCCTTTTATGGTTATTCCAGCATCACATGGTCATGTAACTGCATTTTATGATGGGTTGGCTGAAAACAGGCATTGACTCCTGGTTTTCGGCAAACCGTGCCCAGGGCGAACCACTCATTTGCTTATCTACTGTGGCGTTCACTTATTGACCAGTTGCATAAAATCATCCTGCTTTTACAACCATCATGAGTTACGACCATGATGCGCACGCTCCGTTATAGTCGGAACTTGAGGATTATCTGTAGCATACTTTATTAAAAGGCATCAACTGTAGTGTCATGGTTCCGACTAATGGAACACTTCAAAGAACTTCCAGGCATTGTTTATCCTAAAAAGTCTTTATTCATGTAACAAAGGCTCAGCAGGGCATGTAGGATGCCAAGATCTGAAATCCCCTCCCCTGAGCACATATTTTGCTAGCACAGTGATGGCGAACCTTTTAGAGACCGAGTGCCCAAAAACCGCCCCAGCCCCGCCCGCCCCCACCCTGCCCACCCTCAGGGCCATCCACGGCCCTCCACCTGCGCCCCGCAGCATCATCTGCTGCCCAGCTGCCATGTGCTTGGCGCTGCTCCGTGCAGGCCGCACCCTGGGGGGACTCTTCTTCGGGGGGGCTGCTGCTGAGGGGGGGCTGCGGGGGACGGCAGGGCTGGGGCGACGGCGTGCATGCCCACAGAGAGGGCTCCGAGTGCCGCCTCTGGCACTCGTGCCATAGGTTCGCCACCTCTGTGCTAGCATATTCCCTCCCTTAATTTGCTGTCGTAAATCACGTTCTCCAATCAGTTTGAAGGGCAAAGGTTCCAGTCAGTTTCTGTGAGGCTGCCATTTCTTATCTTATTAAAAACAAGGGGGGGGAAACATTCTTCCTCATCCCCCTAGCATCTTCTAATTCTAAGAGCAAAGCAAAGCAAAGGAAAAGGCTGCCTCTTTATATTGTCAAAGCAAAAAACATCCAATCTTTGCAGCGTTGACATGTAGTTTGTGAGAACGTGACATGTTAGTCAGAAAAGGCGCCACCAGACTATCACGGCTCCCCCTCCTGCAACCCCTCCACCTGAAAGAGAAACTGAGGGTGGGGGGGGGTAGTCCCTGGAGTTGCGTTAACACATTCAAACTCTGTCCCCGTGAGGCATTCAAGCAAATGAGTTGCAACTCACCTGGGGAAGAGGTCCTTCCTGAAAGAGAGCCAGGAGGTCCAGGTAATGTTCTGCAGCCTCTGTTGCCCTGCAGGAGACACCCCCCCATCAGGAAATCATCTCCGTGGCCTGCTGTCCTATCAGCCCAGGGACCCCTGCCCTCCTCAGGCACGGACTGTGAGCCAGGAACAGTTTCCCTCTCACTGGGCTGTTGTTTTTCAAGGCATCTGGGACTTGGAAAGAAAAGGCTTCTCTTGAGAAACCGGGGGCCAACATTTTCAGCCCAGCCCCAGGGGTCTGGGAGGAAGGAGGCCCCCACCTCTCCGCCTGCAAACATCTCTTGGCTAGCATGTATTTCACTCCTGACGGGCAGCTTGGGGCAAGGAAAGCAGCCGGATGGCATCCGCTGGTGAGCAGCTCTGTTCGGATAAGGAAATGGAGGTTGTGGGACTCCAGGGTTACCTGTGGAGGACTCTCCAGAGCCTGGGAAGAGGAGAAAAAGGGTGAAGGAAAAACGCCGGATTCTGTAATGAACTTGGGCCTTGCTCAGGTTCAGCAGTACTATGCTGGTGAGCCCCAGCACGTTCCTGCTACCGTTCTCATTTTATCAGATCTATTAGAATCTGTTATTTCCCCAATCTTGACCCCTTGAAGATCTGTGGGCTTCAACTCCCAGAAAAAACTGGCTGGGGAATTCTGGGAGTTGAAGTCCATGCATGTTCAAGGGACCAAGGTTGGGAAACACCGTATTAGAAGAATGCAACATGCATCATTGAATCTGACAGATTCCAGGCAGCTTACAGCATTATAATAATCAAACAGCCCGCTAACGGTTGCTGTAGCCTTTTCCCTCTTCCCAGCCTGACAGAAAGGAGAGTGGTGCCGTCAGTTCCCCTCTTCCCTGGGGAGGGAAGGCGGAGAGGCCACCGCTGGGTCATCCTCTTGAGACCCACCTGACAAAGCAGCAGCAGAACTTCCAGTTCTGCCTCTGTGAGCTCCAGTTGGTGGTAGACGAGAGCGGCTTGGTACAAGGATGGCAGGAAGGTGGAGTCCATCTCCAGGGCTTGCTTCAGGTGGTGCAGCGCTGTGTGTGGCTTGCCCTGGAGATCCAAAAGAGTGAGAGGATTGAGGATCTGCTTCTCACCGTAGAGCGTCTACACCAGTTGGGTTCACACAACACATTAAACTGGATTAAAACAAGGCTCGGCAGTTGTGTCTCGGTGTTTTCAGAGAGCTGTTTGGAGCTGAAAGGATTTCTGGGAGGTCACAACAAGCTGTTCTGAGTTCATTCAAGCCATCCTTCCTTGGATGGTCCACAGGTGGTTCCATAAGAGGGGAACTTCTGTAAAGAACACCCACCAATGGGGACCCTCCTATCACAAATGGGATATTCAGCAGATGCTCCCCCTCCTTATCCTATTTTGTAATCCAAAGACTGGAGCGATAAGCCGGCTGGGAAGGACCAATACACAGAGCAGTCAGGCTACATAACCAAGGATTCCTGGGTCTCTGTAGAAACATTCCAAGAACCAGGAACAAGTTGGAAGAACTGGAAGTGCTAATGAGGGGAGGCCAATATAGGTAGTCCTCGACTTACGACAGTTTGTTTAGTGACCGCTTGAAGTTACAAAGAAAAATGTCATTTAAAAAGTGAATTTTGGTCATGTGAACAAAATTCCAACGCTTGGCAACTGACTCATACTTATGACGGTTGCAGTGTCCCAGGGTTACGTGATTCCCGTTTGCGCCCTTCTGACAAGCAAAGTCAAAGGGGAAGCCAGATTCACTTAGGAACCGTGTGTCACGGTTCCGACAGATGAAACTCTTCAAAAGAACTTTGTTTACCTTAAAGGATCTTTTATTCGAGTAGCATAATATCGGCACTGCATAATCGAAGCCAAAAACTGAATTCCCCTCCCCTGGACACATAGTATCAAAGCACAATTCCCTCCTCCAATTAACTGTCATAAATCACATTTCCCAATTAGCTCTCCAGCCCAGTTTTTTATCAGCTCTGGGCTCAATAACCTTGATTCTCACTCTAAGTTTAGTGTTGTTATGTCTAGTTGGACTCTCATTCACATCCCCCCTCCTCCCAGCATCATCTAACTCTAAAAGCGAAAGGAAGAAAGATGGCTACATTTCCATCTATTGTCAATGCAAAAACATCTGATGTCACCAGCATTGACACCATGTTCCTAACTTAACTGCAGTGATTCACTTAACAACTGGGGCAAGAAATGTCATAAAATGGAGCCAAACTCACTTAACAACTGTCTCACTTAGCCACAAAAATTTGGGGCTCAATTGTGGTCATAAGTCAAGGACTACCTGTAGAGTTCAATTATTTTCTTATTGTGGGGCCACGCTGGCAAGTGGAACCCATGGATCGAAGGGCATCATTTATTCAGAAAGAAGGGAGGCCACAAGAGGACAGGAGGAAGGCACCGTATGTCAGAAAAGGTCATATATTGTATTGGGATATAGGAATTGGAGCAGGAGAGGCTGTCAAGAACATCTGGATAAGAGTAAAAGGGAGGAGGACAATATTGTTGTGGATGCAATACAAACCACCAGGCTAAGGAGAGGATCAGGAAAATGACCTCCTAAATTAGATCACACAGAACTGAGACACAGCAATAAAGGAATTGCTGAACCACCCAGATATTTGCAAAGTTCCAATAATTCCTCAGCGGTCTTGTTAGCTGTTTCAATTTGCAGAAAGATGTTGAAAAGACCTGGAGGTCAGCATTCCTTGATCTGTTCTTGATTGGCAGGGAAGATCTAGTGAAAAAGTTAAGAGCAATGGGAACCCTCCATCTATTATGATTCAGGATTCTACAGAAACACACACAGCTACAACATTCACTAGATCACATAGATCAATGAAATGCAGACGCACCGTGAATTTCTCAACTATAAGATATTGGAAATACAAACACATACCATTCTGATTAGGATAAAAAGTAGGTGCTTAGGCAACTGCCAGATATGTGCAGCAAACATCTAAGAAAACTAAGACTTGATACGTATGAAGATGTAATCACCAAAAAGCCGCATTGGCAAGAAGCTCTTATTTGCAGAAAGAAAGCCAGAAAGGCTAAAGCATAAAGAGAACTGAAGGTTGTGAGAAAAGCTTGTTGTTGTTAATTGCGAAGTCGTGTCTGACCCATCACGATCCCATGGACAACGTTCCTCCAGGTCTTCCTGTCCTCTACCATCTTCTGGAGTCCATTTAAGCTCCTGCCTACTGCTTCAGGGACTCCATCCAGCCACCTCATTTTCTGTCGTCCCCTTCTTCTCTTGCCCTCCATCTTTCCCAGCATTAGGCTCTTCTCCAGTGAGTCCTTCCTTCTCATTAGGTGGCCAAAGTATTTGAGTTTCAGCTTCAGGATCTGGCCTTCTAAAGAGCAGCCGGGGTTGATCTCCTATAGGACTGACCGGTTTGATCGCCTTGCAGTCCAGGGGACTCGCAGGAGTCTTCTCCAGCACCAGAGTTCAAAGGCCTCAATTCTTTGGCGCTCAGTCTTTGTTATGGTCCAACTTTCACAGCCATACATTGCAACAGGGAAAACTATGGCCTTGACTATACGCACTTTTGTTGGCAGGGTGATGCCTCTGCTTTTTAGTATGCTGTCTAGATTTGCCATAGCTTTCCTCCCCAGGAGCAAGCGTCTTTTAATTTCTTGGATGCAGTCCCCATCTGCGGTGATCTTGGAGCCCAGGAAGATAAAATCTATCCATACCTCCATTTCTTCCCCATCTATTTGCCAGAAATTGAGAGGGCCGGATGCCATGATTTTGGTTTTCTTAATGTTGAGTTTCAAGCCAACTTTTGCACTCTCCTTCTTCGCCCGCATCAAGAGGCTCTTTAGTTCCTCTTCACTTTCTGCCATTAGAGTGGTATCATCTGCATATCTTAGGTTGTTGATATTTCTCCTGGCAATCTTAATTTCAACTTTTGATTCATCTAGCCCTGCCTTGTGAGAAAAGCTAAAAGCAACCTAAAAGACTTACGGGGATGACAATAAAAAGGAAGAAAAAAAAGGGAGAAGGGTGGTGGAAGGTTAGCAGAGATAGGGAGAGGAGGGCAAAGTTCTTCTATCCTCCTTGCTTTTATCTTCTCCCAAAGGGGAACTGTGTTCAAACGAATCTAACAACTGCCACAATTTGGGACTGGCAACCCAAGGACAGAAAGAGACATTTAGAGTAGCAGGCTACCATGAAATGGACTAATTATATTCAAGAGTCCTGAAGAAGCCTGCAGTCTGAGGAGATTTGAGAATGACCTTGGGAGACAGGAGGAGGAACTGACAAGCATTTCAAAACACTCGCATCTCTAGACACTAAAAAGAGGAAATAAATACTTTCAATCTTGCAAGATTCTGTTTAATGTAATCCTACTTGTAAAGACAGTGCTGGTTGAGCTTCTTGTCTGGATTACTTCAAAGGCCTAACACTGTGGGTAAAAACCTGGAGCCTTGGTTGTGGCATACAGCACAGTTCAGGGAAAATGCTGCCCTCTTTTCAAAAAGGAAGAAAAGACCTGGATATTTGCTTCAATGATCCTAAGCAAAACTCTGGAGCAGATTATTTAGCAGTTTGTGGGCATTTAGAAAAACCAAAGCATCACTTGACAGCAGCCATTTATCATGCCAAACCACATCTCCTTTCTTCACTGATGGCCACGTGGTGGACATAGTGCAACTTCAGCAAAGCATTGGACAAAATTCTACCAGAAAAAGGGCAAAATGTGATCCCATTACATGCAGAGTTAATGGGACAGTTATAGCCAGTAAGGACTATATTTCATAATGGTAAGTTATGAAGGCCACCTGAAGAGACTAGAAGCATTTGAAATGTGGATTTATAGGCGGCTGTTACGTATAAGCTGGGTTGACAAGATCAGAAATGAGGAGGTGATAAGCCGCCTGGGAAAGCCAAGGGAAATCATCAAACCAATTAAAAAGCGAAAATTAGAATACTTCGGACATGTGATGCGACACCCAGAAAAATACAGCATACTCCATTTAATCCTCCAGGGAAAGATGGAAGGCAAACAAGGTCCAGGCAGAAGAAGAACATCATGGCTTCAAAATCTAAGGGACTGGTTTGGACAAGACTCAGCAGCACTTTTTCGTGCGGCTACTGATAAAAACATGATCGCCAACGTCCGATAACGGATATAGCACAAGAAGAAGAACAGTTATGAAAGTGGAAAGAGAAATCAAGTACTATATTTACATGGTTTGATTCTAAGTCCTGTACAGGTAATCCTTGATTTACAGCAATGCATTTAGTGACTGTTCAAAGGTACAATGGCACTGAAAAAAGGGACCTATGACCATTTTTCACATGTATGACCAAAATGATCAAAATTCAGATGCTTGGCTGTTAACTCATATTTATGACGATTGCTGTGTCCCAGGGTCATGTAATCATTTTTTGAAACCTTGTGACAAGCAGTCAATGGAAAAGCCAGCTTCACTTAACAACGGTGTTACTAATTTAACAACTGCAGCAGTTCACTTAACAAATGTGGCAAGAAAAGTTGTAACAGGGGGCAAAACTCACTTAACAAATTTCTGACTTAGCAAGATAAATTTTGAGCTCAATGGTGGTCGTAAGTTGAGGATTACCTGTACAGGTAATCCTTGACTTACAGCAGTTCATTTAGTGACCGTTCAAAGTTACAATGGCACTGAAAAAGGGACTTATGACCGTTTTTCACACTTAGACTGTTACAGCATCCCCATAGTCACATGGTCAAAATTCAGACGCTTGGCAACTGACTCATATTTATGACGGTTGCAGTGTCCCAGGGTCACGTTATCCCCTTTTGCGACCTTCTGACAAGCAAAGTCCATGGGGAAGCCAGCTTCACTTAACAACCGTGTGACTCACTTAAGAACTGCAGCGATTCCCTTAAGCACTGTGGCAAGAAAGGTGATAAAATGGGACAAAATTCACTTAGCAACTGTCTCGCTTAGCAACAGAAACTTTGGGCTCAATTGTGGTCGTAAGTCAAAGACTATCTGTACTTTTCCAAATACGTATGCATTACTTGGAAAAATATGAAGGTCTTCAGCTGGTAATGGTAAAAACTGGCAATATGAACTTCAATGTAGACCAAGTTCTAGACCTTGATAGGATAAATCAGGGGTAGGCAACCTTGGCTCTTTTATGACTCGTGGACTTCAACTCCCAGAATTCCTGAGCCACCATGACTCAGCTTGGAAACCTCTTCCTTTCCCCTCAGCATGGCTGGCTCAGGAATTCTGGGAGTTGAAGTCCACGAGTCATAAAAGAGCCAACGTTGCCTACCCCTGGGATAAATCAAGGTCGTGATGCAGGCGGATTATGTCCCATCAAGTCAGTTCTCAATGATCACATAGTTTTTCTTCGTGATAATCTGCCTCCTCCAATCTGGTCTTCCAACAGTTCCCCCTTCGTCGCAGTAACTGAGCGCGTTCCCCCGAGTGCTGCTTCTTGTTCCCACCATGTTTCCAAGCAACAGAGCAGTAGCTCTGCATTATGAGAAAGAGGATCTGATTGGCCCTCAGGGAAACTATCCCAACTCCAGCAGCTATTCAGCGGCATCACAAATTGCTCTCTTTTATTGGAAGTTATCTTGGATGGGCCTCTGTCAGGAACATTGTACAACACATTTTTGCGCTAGTTGGTTTCCAAAGTCCCTTCCCATTCTTATATTTGATGATTCTCTGGCCTAGATTTTTTTTTTCATTTTATCCACATTCCTTAGAACACATAATGTTCCCTTACTATTTTCCGGTAGCAGCTTCCCATTAAGGTGAAGATCTGGGCAAGGACCCGCTTAGAACATAGTCCAGACGCAGCCGCTTGGAGGAAGACAAGGGCACGGTGGGGGTTGTCAGCTTCCAGCTCCTGAACACCTGGAATAAACAAACAGGCATCAAAAAGTCTAATTTGATTCAATTTAATGTGTTGCTGCATGCTGAGATCTCTGTGCCCGTTATCTAAAGAGAACTACAGATAGTTCCTTGACTTACAACTTTTCATTTAGTTGTGACCTCTTGAAATTACAACAGCACTGAAAAAAGTGAGTTATGATCATTTTTCACACTTACAATAGTTCCAGCATCCCCATGGTCACATGATCAAAATTTGGACACTTGGCAACTGATTCGTATTTATGATTGGTTGCAGTGTCCCGGGGTCACGTGAGCCCCATTTGCGACCTTCTGACAAGCAAAGTCCACGGGGAAGCCAGATTCACTTAACAAGTGCGTTACTAACTTAACAACTGCAAAGACTCACTTGACAATTGGGACAAGCAAGGTCATAAAATGTGGCAAAGGTCATTTAACAAATGTTTTGCTTAGCAACAGAAATTTTGGATTCAATCGGGGTCGTAAGCGGAGGACTCTCTCTGAAATTACAGAAGTAAATGACCGTTTTCCTTGTCTTCCCGTTTCCACTTTCAAGTTTCCTAGTATTTCGGACGTCTCTTACCTCCTAGAGTGTAAATGGAACGTTCTTCCGTCGACTTCAGGTGTCTCAGAGAAAGTTTAGACACTACCAAACGTGGTGGTCCCCCAGTCTGAGAGGGTAAAGTGCCCCCACGGTGTAGACGTCGTCACTTTCCAGCTCACTGTCACAACCAACACAAGAAGGGTCTGGGATCTGAAAAGGAAACAACAAAGAATTCCAAGAGTGCCTGAATAGAGGAAGACTTCCCAAGCTGTGAAGATGGTCAGAGAGAGAGAGCAGCGCCTATCACGATATAATCAATTTGCTGAATCTAATGGGTGGAACTAGGGGAGCACTGAATGGGGCTGCATCGCACAACCCAAAGAGAGAGAAGAGGGGGTCCTCATTACTTTTGTCGTCCTTCTTGGTACCCACTTCTGTCTGCCATTCTGCCTCCTCCTACTTAGGCTGCTAGGGGGAAAAAATGATCTGCTTTTACCAGAAGTTTGAGCTGTTTGTCAAGGGATTTAATATCAGGCCAAGACTCATAAAGGCTGCAGAACAATAAGAGTTTATCACAGTTATCCATGCCCCTCCCCACCACAGAGAAGACCCTGTGGTATTCAGACTTGGCTTGTGGCCCTCTTTTAATGCTGGACTCCAAGGCTAGCAAGGCAATTTTCTCAGCAATTCACCAGGTCCTGATTAGCTGCTACTCTAGTGCAGTGGTGGCGAACCCATGGCACGCGTGCCAGAGGCGGCACTCAGAGCCCTCTCTGTGGGCACGCACGCCATGCCCCAGAGATGGCAACTGTCCCTCTTCAACCAGCCACCCGCTAACTCGCTGAGGTGCCACGTGGCCGGATGCATCCCAGCACGGCTGGTTTCCTCCCTCCTGTCCCGTCCCATCCCTCCTGGTCTCGCATGCTCTCCTTTTCCCTGGCACGACCCACTCCATCGCCTCCTCAGCTGTCAGCCAGCCATCCAGCTCAGAGGCGGCTTCTTTGAACTGCTGGCAGCAGGCTGCGGAGCCCCAGAGTGTGCCAATCGAGGGGCCGGCAGGCTGTGGCTGCTGATGGACACCATCGGCCCCATGTGCTCTCTGGCCTCTGTGTGCGGGGGCCGATGGTATCAGGCAGCAGCCACCCCGGCCCCTGCCTTGCCCCATGGCAATGGCACCCCGATCCTGCCTCACCTCACCCTGCAGGATGAGCCTCCTGCCCACCCCCCCACCTGCCAGAGACCCCATGGATCTCCCCCAACCCTGCCCACCCCCCCACAGGCGTCCCTCCCCATGAGCAACATTGAGCTGACCACGCCTACCTTGGCCACACCCACCCAATCTGCCATGACCACCACAGCCACGCCCACCTAGTGGGCCACACCCACCTGGCACCCGGCAATAAATAAGTGGGTTTTGGGTTGTAGTTTGGGCACTCGGTCTCTAAAAGGTTTGCCACCACTGCTCTAGTGTAAAGCTCCCACCTATCCCGGCTTTCCTTAGGGAAGAGGCAGCCAGGGTCGCAGCCCCAACACAACCTTCTCTTCCTCACCTGGGCACCGTTAAGGAGCAGCAGGAGGTCCCGGGCTCTCTCCAGCTGGTGGCCGGCCAGCCACGCCGCCGCCTGCAGAGCCGCCAGGTGCTGCAAAGGGGCCCGGAGCTGCTCCGGCGCGGCCTGCTGGAGGACCCTCGGCCAGAGTTCCCCGCAATCGAGACCCTCCTCGGGCGCAGCGAAAGCTTCCAGCACTGACGGGAAGGAAGGAGGGACGGAGGGGGGGCGTTGGCCAGGTCTCCCTTCCAGACCAGGAGCCCCCCGGCCCGTTCCGCTTCTTACCTCGCCGGAGTCCCCGCTCGATCCAGGCCGAGGCGCGCTGGGGGCCGCCGCCGGGCGGGCGCATCTCGAAGGGCAGGGCGTTGCAGAGGATGGCCAGCTCCAAGGAAAGGCTCGGGAGGACGGCGGGGAGCCCTGCGGAGGGGGGGGGCACACCCGAAAGCTGAGGAGGGGAAGGGGAAAGAGGGGGGTCCCGGGGAACACCCCCGCCCCCCAGGCAGCCCCCCCGCCTCCCCGGCGAGACCCCGCCCCCCGCCTGTTCGCTACCTTGAATCTTCCTCAGCAGTTCCGCGAATTGCTGAGGGGGAGCCGGGCCGGGAGAGGGCGCCGCCTGCAACGGAAGCACCAGAGGCCGCCTTAGTCCTACTAGGCCAGGGGTAGGCAACCTCGGCTCTTTTATGACTCATGGACTTCAACTCCCAGAATTCCCAAGTCAGCATAGCTGACTTGGGAATTCTGGGAGTTGAAGTCCATGAGTCATAAAAGAGCCGAGGTTGCCTACCCCTGTACGAGGCCGAGCGCACGCCGCCCCCTTCCCCCTCCCCGCCCTCTCCCCCTCGGCCGCGCACCCTCCGCCAGCGCCGGGCCAGCCGGTCGTTCTCAGCCCGCCACAAGGCCCAGCACCCGTCGCCGTCGCCGCCCGCCATCACACACGCTAGGGCGCACGCTCCTACCGCGCCGCCCGATTGGCCGGGACGCTTCCGTTGCCGAGGCAACACCGACCGGCGGCAAACTCGAGTTCTGCAGGGGAGCCAGTGGGCGGGTCCGCGCACGAGGCCTCAGCCAATGAGCAGCGCACGCTGGCCACGTGCATTTCCCCCTGGCTGAAGAGGCCAAAAAAGGGGACTCGGCTTTCCCTCGTGAAGGCGTCGGCCCCACCACCTCCCCTTTTACTCGAGGTTGCCGGGCAGGTCCTAAAGCCGACCTTTGCTATGTTTATCTCCTAAATCAGGGGTCGCCACACTTGGTCACTTTTAAGACTTGTGAACTTCAAATCCCAGAATTCCCCAGCCAGCATTATATTGCATAGCTGGCTGGGGAATTCTGGGCATTGAAGTCCATAAGTCTTACAGTTCCCAATCGTGGAGGCTCCTGTCCTAAGTTTATCTTTCAAGAATTCACCAGACACCTCCTTTGAAAAACTCCATTCTTTTCCACTCTTAAGGATCAGCAGGTTTAATTCTTCCAAGTGTTGAAGGTAGCAGCAAAATGCTGGTCGGTTGCAAAAACGCCTTATTTTGGGGGCTGAAAATGCACTTTTGCAGAGTCAGGCTGCCCAG